CTCCCACCCCATGAACTTGAACCAACTTACAGTTCATGTCCCCACAGGGCCAGGGGTTCCTAGGGCAGGGGCAGGGAGCTGGGGGCCTTTAACCCTTCCCTGTCCGCGGCCTGGGGAGGGGAGGCATGAGCTGCGGCAGGAGGGCCGCGGCAGTGAGGGAGTGTGTGTGCCTGGGGGGTTATATAGGGGGCCGGGGCGGCGGGCGGGGGGCAGGCGGCAGGGGAGGGCGGCCTGACACATCCTGACTCACCCTCCCTGCCTGCCTTTTCCATTCAGACCCAGCCGGCTCTCGCAGGGCTCACGCCGCCGCTCGGAGGAGGGCACGGAAGAAAAAGTTGGAAAAGTTGAAAAGGGAGGGGGGGTGGTCGGAGAGAGGCTGGTGAGGTCATTGGCGTCCCCTCCCTCCACCTCCACGGTCGGGGCAGACACACACATGGCTCTGGAGCTGGGGCCTCGCTGTGGGTGGGGGGTCTGGCTGGACCAGGACGGGCGGAGAGGGAGATGGGGAGGCAGAAGAGAGGCATGCGGGGCGGGGGGGGGGGGAGGCAGAGGCGCGAGGGAGAGATGGAGAGACTGAGACATCGGTGAAGAGAGTGGTTCAGCGAGAGGAACAGAGACCCAGAGAGTTGGGTGGGGGCAGCCGGGGAGACGCAGGGGAGAAGCGGGGCACGGAGTTCGCTGGGCAGGCTTGGGGAGTGGTCCTGGGGGTGGGAGCCGACAGAGAGGCTCTGGCGGGAAGGGATGGAGGCGTCCAGGCTCAGACGGGGCGGGGTGGGGGGTGGACAGGTGACAGAAGAATGCCCAGAGCAGACACCAGGCCAGTGACGAGGCCCTGAGCCGTGGAGACACCAGGATGTCGGGACTTGGCAGTGGGCGCAGGAGAGGCAGAGGTGAAGGTGGGAGAGGACCGGATCCAGATGCCAGGGACCCAGGGACGGCGGCGAGGAGAGATGCTCGGGGAGGGGGGTGCGGTCTCCGCCTGGAGCCTCAGCTTCCTCATCTGTGAAGTGGGGACAGAGAGGGCAGCCCCCACCCCCTAACGCCGGGGCGAGGATGCACTGAGCTCACTCATGTGAAGCATCAAGTCAGCACTCAATAAATGTTAACCATTGCTAGTTTCACCATTAAATTTTATTACCACCACGTCCAAGGAGACAGAGAAAGATGTAGCCCCTGGGAGAGACTGGAAGGGGGTGGGAGTGATGGACGGGCAAGGGTGGTGAGCGGGGTGCGGGCACCGGGGCAGCCGCCCAGGGCCCAGGGCTGGCAGCAGGAGCCAGAGACCTGGACCAGGCCAGGCAGGGGGGGATGGAGACAGGGGAGCCGCCAGGTAGGTAGGAGGGGACCCAGAGGGGGAGGGGGAGGCAGCAATGCCCACACAGGCATGTAGGGGTGCAGGTGGCCGGTATCCACAGCCCGGCAGGAGAGGGACAGGGACGCCACCCCAGGTCGCCCAGGGCCTCCCCCATCAGAGGAAGATGGGGCTGGACTGAGTGGGACCCCTGCGAGGCCCCCTAGGACTGTGCTGGGCTGGCCAGGTGGCTCTGGGGGTGCAGGACAGCAGCAGGCCTCCCCTCCCCATCTGCCACTGCTGGGGGAGCGACGGCTGAGGTCCCCGAGGAGGTGAGGTCACAGCCCCCCCAGGGTGGGACATGACCTCACTGCCTCAGGTGAGAGCTTGCTCTGCTGCATCTCTCAAGGCTGCCCCCTCTAGGGCCCCCCAGGGGCCCTCCGCAGCCCGGCTGGCTCCCGCAGGGACCCAGGCCTCTGACCACTGGGTCTCCGCCCCTCAGGGGGCCTGTTTCCGGCTGAGTCAGCGTGGGGGGCCCAAGGCTGCGTCAGTGAAAGGAGAGCTGACGTACCCCCACCCCAGACCGGCGGGGCCAGCCAAGGTGACTCAGGCCACTGGCCCGGGGGATGGACCGGCCCGAGGGGATGGGGCACTGGGCCTGGGGCCAGCTTGGGGGCAAAAGCAGGGATCCGGAATGCCAGCCGCCGCCACCTACAGAGATGGGGGGCCAGCCCCTAGCCCCCTTTCCCTCATCTCAGACACAGGGGTCCAGGCCCCCGGCCCCTCTTCCCTGAGACCCTGGGGTCCAGGCCCCCGGCCCCTCCTGCCCCAGCCTCGGGGGCCTGAGCCTTCCTTATGGGAGAGTGGTGGAAGGAGTGTTGTGTGTGGACAGTCTGAGTCTGGGACAAATCAGGGGTTGGTTTCTTGTCTGGGTCCTCCACTGGGTGGCGTGGGGACAGACTTCCCCCTCCCGGGGGTGGGGGTGGGGGCTGCAGAAGGCGGGGGGCACTGATCTGGGCTCCTGGGTCTCCCCTGGGCTGGGTGAGGATGCTTTGGGCCACTTCCATGGCAGCCAGGACAAGAGAGCGAGCAAGCCAGCCAGCCAGGGACGGGGCTGGGGAATCCCGAGAAAGACAGATGACAGAGGAGAAACCGAAATAGGGACAGGACCACAAAGACCCAGAATGAGAAGACAGAGCCGCAAATAAAGCCGGGGCCAGAGACCGGCGCGGAGCCTTGGAAACAAACAGGGGGGGTGGGGGTGGGGGCAGGCTGGGAGACCCGTCACAGCCGCTGCGGGAGAGGTCCCTGGGACCTGGGGGGCTTTCCCAGGGGGGTCCTCGCTGATGTGCCGGCCCCCGGGCCAGGAGGGGCTGGCTGGGTGTGAGGTCAGCAGGTCCGGGGAGGCTGTGTGTGTCCGTCTGTCTGTCCCTGGGGGGTCCCGTCTGGCCTCTGGGGGGTGACGGGGCAGGCTGGCCACAGAGGCAGCTCAAACCTGTCATTAGCGGTGGGAGCCGTGCGGCGGGGGGCCTCCCCGGTCCGAGCCGCGGTCCAGGGCCCGGCAGCCCCGCCCCCCCACCCCCTCCTTGATCCCTGAGGAATCCCGGGAATTGGGAAGTGGGTCCAGATGATGTTGACACAGGAAACAGTCAGCAGCTGCCCAGCCTCAGCCCTGTAGCCCCCTGACCCCCACCCCCGGCCCCCTGCCGAGCCCCCTCGGACCTGTGTCATCTCTGACGGAGGCAGCCCGGGCCCACTCAGCACCCTCCAGGATGTTTACGGGAGGGGGTGCAATGACGGGGGTCAGACTCATGGTTCCCGGAGACTGGGGCTCCCTCAGACCCAGGGGTCCAGGCCCCAGCCAGCCCCTCCTCCCTCAGACCCAGGGGTCCCAGGTCCCCAGTCCCTCCTCCCTCAGACCAGGGGTCCCAGGGCCAGGCCCTCCTCCCTCAGACCCAGGGGTCCCAGGTCCCAAGTCCTTCTCCCTCAGACCCAGGGGTCCAGGCCCCAGCCAGCCCCTCCTCCCTCAGACCAGGGGTCCCAGGGCCCAGGTCCTCCTCCCTCAGACCAGGGGTCCCAGGGCCAGGCCCTCCTCCCTCAGACCCAGGGGTCCCGGGTCCCAAGTCCTTCTCCCTCAGACACAGGAGTCTCGGCCCAGGCCCTCCTCCCTCAGACCCAGGAGTCCAGGTCTCAGGTCCTCTTCCCTCAGACCCAGGGGTCCCAGGGCCCAGGTCTCCTCCCTCAGACCCAGGAGTCTCAGGGCCCAGCCCCTCCTCCCTCAGACCCAGGAGTCTCAGGGCCCAGGCCCTCCTCCCTCAGACCCAGGAGTCTCAGGGCCCAGGCCCTCCTCCCTCAGACCCAGGGGTCCAGGCCTCCAGCCCTCCTCCCTCAGACCCAGGGGTCCAGGCCTCCAGCCTTCCTCTCTCAGACCCAGGGGTCCCAGGTCCCAGGTCCTCCTCCCTCAGACCCAGGAGTCCAGGTCCCCCCCAGCCCCTCCTCCCTCAGACCCAGGAGTCTCAGGGACCAGGCCCTCTTCCCTCAGACCCAGGAGTCCAGGTCCCAGGTCCTCCTCCCTCAGACCCAGGGGTCTCAGGGCCCAGGCCCTCCTCCCTCAGACCCAGGAGTCTCAGGGACCAGGCCCTCCTCCCTCAGACCCAGGAGTCCAGGTCTCAGGCCCTCCTCCCTCAGACCCAGGAGTCCAGGTCCCAGGTCCTCCTCCCTCAGACCCAGGGGTCCCAGGTCCAGGTCTCCTCCCTCAGACCCAGGAGTCTCAGGGACCAGGCCCTCTTCCCTCAGACCCAGGAGTCCAGGTCCCAGGTCCTCCTCCCTCAGACCCAGGGGTCTCAGGGCCCAGGCCCTCCTCCCTCAGACCCAGGGGTCCCAGGTCCCCAGTCCCTCCTCCCTCAGACACAGGAGTCCAGGTCTCAGGCCCTCCTCCCTCAGACCCAGGAGTCCAGGTCTCAGGTCCTCCTCCCTCAGACCCAGGGGTCCAGGTCTCAGGTCCTCCTCCCTCAGACCCAGGAGTCCAGGTCCCAGGTCCTCCTCCCTCAGACCCAGGGGTCTCAGGGCCCAGGCCCTCCTCCCTCAGACCCAGGAGTCTCAGGGACCAGGCCCTCCTCCCTCAGACACAGGAGTCCAGGTCTCAGGCCCTCCTCCCTCAGACCCAGGAGTCCAGGTCCCAGCCCTCCTCCCTCAGACCCAGGAGTCCAGGTCCCAGGTCTCCTCCCTCAGACCCAGGAGTCCAGGTCTCAGGTCCTCCTCCCTCAGACCCAGGGGTCCAGGCCTCCAGCCCTCTCTCCTGCCAGACTCAGGGGCCCCGGCCCAAGCGGGGGATCTGAGAGCCGTCTGTGTTGCACCCTAATGCTGAGTGGATGTCAGGCCGGCAGACGGGCTCATGGTCCTAACGGAGCTCCCTCATGGGAGGATTGGCCCCTCCCCCACCAGCTCATAGCTGGGGAAACAGTTGGAGGTGAGAAATGGGGGTCGTGCCCAGCAGTTGCCCCCACTGGCCAGCCCCGTCCCTGTGCCATCAGGTCCCTAGAAGGCGGCTTGGTGGCACCAGGGGACTCCCGGCCAGGTGCGGGCCTGGGGCTCCAGTGCCCATTGTCTCCCCTCCCCAGGCCCCCTGGTTGCTGGGGGGACCCTTCCCTAACAATGGGGCTCAGTGAGGCTTCGCTCTGCAGCCCCCTCCCCTGGTTGCCAAGGGGAAACACTCCCTAGCAACGGAGTTTCCTGAGAAGGTGGCGGCCACCTGCCGCCGCCATCAGATCCCCCAGGGAAGGGGCGCCCGGGCCGGAGTGCTCCCAGAGCCTCCCACCTCCCCGGTGTCCCGGTGAACGAGGGCGAGCTGCCCGGCCCCAGCCCCTTGCTGGGCACCTCCTGCTGCCCAGGCTGCTGGACAGACTCTCCCCGCGCCCGAGACCCCCACCGGAGCCCCGTGCCCCAACCCTGGCTAGCTCAGGCCGGTGGGAGCCCCGCGCCCCAACCCTGGCTAGCTCAGGCCGGTGGGAGCCCCGCCTGCCCCTGCAGCCTCCCCACAAGGGGACCCTTAGCAACGGAACTTGGAATCCTGGGGCAGGGCAGGCGGGCGGGGCCGGGCTGTTGCTGGGGCGATGTCCTCCAGGGCTCTCCCCACAGAGGCCCCAGGGGTCTGGGGAGGCGACATGGTGGGCTCTGGGATCCCGGTGCTAGGGCTTCTCCTGCTGGTGCAGGGCTCCGTAGGTGAGGGGCCGGGAGAGGGCCGGGGAGCTGCGGAGGGGCCCAGCCCAGCCACAGCTCCGCAACACCACGGCTTTTCTCTGACAGATGGGAATGGAATCCAGGGATTCTTCTATCCGTGGAGTGAGCAGAGGCCGCGATCCTGGGGCCCCAGGGAGGGGAGCCCGGGGCTGACTCCTGGGTCTGAGGGAGGGGCTGGGACTTGAACTCCTGGGTCTGAGGGAGGAGGGCCTGGGACTTGAACTCTTGGGTCTGAGGGAGGAGGCCCTGGGTCTGAGGGAGGAGGGGCTGGGGCCTAAACTCTTGGGTCTGAGGGAGGAGGGGCTGGGACTTGAACTCTTGGGTCTGAGGGAGGAGGGGCTGGGACTTGAACTCCTGGGTCTGAGGGAGGAGGGCCTGGGTCTGAGGGAGGAGGGGCTGGGGCCTAAACTCTTGGGTCTGAGGGAGGAGGGCCTGGGACTTGAACTCTTTGGGTCTGAGGGAGGAGGGCTCTGGGGCCTGGGTCTGAGGGAGGAGGGCCTGGGTCTGAGGGAGGAGGGGCTGGGACTTGAACTCTTTGGGTCTGAGGGAAGAGGCCCTGGGTCTGAGGGAGGAGGGGCTGGGACTTAAACTCTTTGGGTCTGAGGGAGGAGGCCCTGGGTCTGGGGGAGGAGGGGCTGGGGCCTAAACTCTTGGGTCTGAGGGAGGAGGGGCTGGGACTTGAACTCTTGGGTCTGAGGGAGGAGGGGCTGGGATTTGAACTCCTGGGACTGAGGGAGGAGGGCCTGGGTCTGAGGGAGGAGGGGCTGGGGCCTAAACTCTTGGGTCTGAGGGAGGAGGGCCTGGGACTTGAACTCTTTGGGTCTGAGGGAGGAGGGCTCTGGGGCCTGGGTCTGAGGGAGGAGGGCCTGGGTCTGAGGGAGGAGGGGCTGGGACTTGAACTCTTTGGGTCTGAGGGAAGAGGCCCTGGGTCTGAGGGAGGAGGGGCTGGGACTTGAACTCTTTGGGTCTGAGGGAGGAGGCCCTGGGTCTGGGGGAGGAGGGGCTGGGAGCCCGGAGGGATCAAGAGTAAGCAGGCAAGGCCGGCGCCGTGGCTCACTAGGCTAATCCTCCGCCTAGCGGCGCCGGCACACCGGGTTCTAGTCCCGGTCGGGGCGCCGGATTCTGTCCCGGTTGCCCCTCTTCCAGGCCAGCTCTCTGCTGTGGCCCGGGAGTGCAGTGGAGGATGGCCCAGGTGCTTGGGCCCTGCACCCCATGGGAGACCAGGAAAAGCACCTGGCTCCTGGCTCCTGCCATCGGATCAGCGCGGTGCGCCGGCCGCAGCGCGCCAGCCGTGGCGGCCATTGGAGGGTGAACCAACGGCAAAGGAAGACCTTTCTCTCTGTCTCTCTCTCTCACTGTCCACTCTGCCTGTCAAAAAAAAAAAAAAAAAAAAAAAAAAAAAAAAAGAGTAAGCAGGCAGGCCAGCCTGGCTTTGGGGCCCCGGTGCCTGAGGCTGCCCACGGTGCCTGGCCCCCAGGCTGCGAGGGGGACGTGTGGGACCGGGAGAGCTGCGGGGGCCAGGCGGCCATTGAGAACCCCAACCTGTGCCTGCGCCTGCGCTGCTGCTACCGCGACGGGGTCTGCTACCACCAACGGCCGGACGGTGAGAGCCGGGGCCGGGGCCGGGGCCGGGGCCGGGGCTGGCAGCGGGGCGGCTCGGGTCCTCAAGCCGCCCACTTTGCGCAGAGAACATGCGTAGGAAGCACATGTGGGCCCTGGGCTGGACGTGCGGAGGCCTCCTCTTCCTGATCTCCAGCATCTGCCTGTTTTGGTGAGCGGGGCGGCCTGGGGGGGGGGCAGGGCCCCCAGGGGCCGGCAGACGGGCCCCAGGCTGAGCGTGTGCCCCACCCCCAACAGGTGGGCCAAGCGCCAGGACATGCTGCACCTGCCGGTGTTCCTGCAGGGCAAATGTGACTTGTCCAGGACGGTCTCGCTGCTGTCCAAGGACCGGGCCAGCGAGAAAAAGACGCCGTCCGTCGGCAGCGTGCCGGCCTCCCTGCCCACCGAGGCGGCGGAAACCGGGGGCACGGAGGGGGAAGGCACGGAAGGAGGCGAGGAAACAGAGGGGGGCGAGGAAGAGGATTAGGGGCGTCCCTGGGGGACCCCTCAATAAAGATAGAATGTGTAGTCAGACGTTTTCTTCTCTTGAGAGCCACAGGGGCAGCCCGGGCAGGGGACGTGTGTGTGGCTTTGGTGTGTGCGGGGTCAGAGCGGAGGGGGACCTGGGCTGGGCACTGCTCCTGTGTGGTGCGAGCTGAGTAGGACCTGGGCTGAAGAGGACTCCGGCTGTGGTCCCGGGGGAGCTGAGCCTCCGACAAGCGAGCTGGGGCTAGGTGGGGTGGGGGCCGAGCACTGGGGAGGGGCCAGGCTACGCCCAGCGCGTCAAACCGGGACTTGCTGCACCTGTCTGCCGGAAGCTCCTCCGCCGACCCACAGGTCCCCGTCCTGGACACCTGGGCCTCCCCTAGCCACGGACTCGGCTCCCAGACTGCCCGCTGCCCGGCCGGAATCTTGGAAGACTGCTTCCACCCCAAGACTCATCCCGGCTGACCGCCTCCCCCCTCCCCACCCCCAGGAAATGCGCCCCCAAATAAATATCTCGCCAGTCTGGTTTGTCCCTGCGTCTGCTTTTCTGAAGACCCAAATCAACACAGGCTGAGTGGGCGGCTCCGGCTTCCAGGTCCCCTCCGAAAGGCTAGCATGATGCTGGCTCCCGTGTCCCCAGGGGCTGTGGGTCCCCCAAGGGGTGGCCACATTCCCGCGGGCCCCTGCCCTGGCCCAACACCAGCGCAGTCCCTCTCCCAGACAGACAAGCAGGCTGGAGGCAGAGGCCTTTATCCGAGCGTGGATATGCCGGGCAGGCGGGCGTCCCAGCAGCCGGCTGGGTGAGGGCAGGTGCACAGCTCAGTCCGCTCCTCACGGATGGGGCGTGGGGTGGTCTGCAGGAGAGAGGGTGGCGTCAGTGACCGCTCCTGCAGGACCCCCTCCCCCGTGCCTGTCTTCCCAGCCCCCTGCCTGGACTCAGGCTTGCTTGTGGCCCCTGCATTCCTGCTGCCCCGTTTGATGCCGACACCCTCCCCCCCCCCCCATGTGGGAGTGCCTTTAACTCAGTGGGATCCACTGCAGCAAGACAGGAAGAGAGGCGGGGAAAGGCAGAGGGAGGGAGGGAGACCCGGAGAGACGGGGACGCAGGCAGAGACGAGACCCGGAGAGACGGGGACGCAGGCAGAGACGAGACCCGGAGAGACGGGGACCCAGGCAGAGACGAGACCCGGAGAGACGGGGACCCAGGCAGAGACGAGACCCGGAGAGACGGGGACCCAGGCAGAGACGAGACCCGGAGAGACGGGGACCCAGGCAGAGACGAGACCCGGAGAGACGGGGACCCGGGCAGAGACGAGACCCGGGGAGACGGGGACCCGGGCAGAGACGAGACCCGGGGAGACGGGGACCCAGGCAGAGATGGAGGAAGAGAAGTGGGTGAGGGAGGCTCTGCCCCTCTTCTCAGCTGGCTTTGCTTCGCAGGGAGCGGGAGACCGCAGAGCTGGAACGTGTGGGTCTCTGTTCACCCAAGTCCCGTGTGCTTTGTATGCTGGCGGCACCTCGCCTGCACACGGGACAGGCCCTGTGTCGGACAGGACCTGGTGTCCTTCGAGAGGGGCCGAGCGCCAGTCAGCTCGGCCTGAGCCTCGCTCTAGGACGTGCAGGGTCTGGGCACTCTGAAGGGTCCTCCAGGGTGACTTTGGCCCCAGGAGATGGCGCTCGCCTTCGACGGCAAAGGCGGCCTCGGCCCGCGCTTCGCCTCTGGGCAGAGCGCTCGTCCTCCGTGAGATCAGTGTCCTCGTCTGCACTACAGGACGTGTGGCCGCTCTGAGCGCTCCGCGCCGGCCTCACCGGGACAGCACGACACCCCTCCAACGGCACGCGTGCCAGCCCCGGGGAGTTCAGTTCCCTCATGGGCACCACCGAGCCCTCTGGAAATGGATTCAGTGGTCTGGCCGCTGTCCCCCCTCAGCCCCTCAGCCCAGCCACCCACCCATGCACCTGTCCACCTGTCCATCAGTGCACACCATCATTTCAGCCACCTGACCAACCAATGCAACCGCAGCCATCCATCAGCTGATATGCTGACCAATCCACTGCCCACCACGTCTACTATCAACCAACTCACCCACCCACTCAGCAATCCATCCACCAGTCCATCCATCCACCAGCTCACCCCCACCCCGCACACACACACTGACCTATGCAGGCATCAGCTTTGCCTGGGTTCCCACTTCCCTGGAAAAATGCCAGGAGCAGACACCAAACCAGGGCACTTCCTGTGTGGTGGGAGAGACGGCAGCAGCAACAACCACGCGTGGGCACACACACGCACGCACGCACGCACACGCACACACACGCACAGCACTGGGTCATCCAAGCAGCCGCAGCCTTCCGCTCACGGAAGAGCAGAGAAGTCGAGTTCGTTTGTTCTTTTTAAAATACGTGTTACAGGTGCCGGCGCTGTGGTGCAGCAGGTTAACGCCCTGGCTTGAAGCCCCGGCATCCCATATGGGCACCGGTTCTAGTCCCAGCTGCTCCTCTTTCGATCCAGCTCTCTGCTGTGGCCTGGAAAAGCAGTGGAAGATGGCCCAAGTGCTTGGGCCCCTGCACCAGTGTGGGAGACCCCTGCACCACGTGGGCGGCAGGAACCACCCCCTGCTGCCCTCCTGGGCGCACTGGCAGGGAGCTGGATGGGAAGTGGAGCAGCCGGGACTCCTCCACCCACCCCTCCTACGGGATGTCAGCGTTGCAGGCGGCGGCTGCACCCACTGTGCCACAGCGCTGGCCCCGAGTTGGTTCTTAAAGGACACTTGGGAGAAGTTTCCGGGTGCTGTGGAGACAGCGAGGGCGGGCGCTCTTGGTGTGGAGCACGGCACAGGCAGGGGCCCACGGTGAGAGTCAGGCCAAGAAACCGCGGGCGGGACTCGGAGCGCAATGCGTCCGCAGCAGGCTAATGTTTAGGGGTCCTGGCTGCTCCATGTCCCATCCAGCTCCCTGCTGATGGCCTGGGGAGGCCGCAGAACATGGCCCGAGTGCTTGGGCCCTTGCACCCATGAGGGAGACCCGGTTGGAGCTCCAGGCTCCTGGCTTTGGTCTGGCCCAGCCCCAGCCTGGATGTTGTGGCCATTTAGGGAATGAGCAGCAGATGTAAGATCCACCCCCCCCCCCCATGCTCCATCTCTTGTTTTTAAAGATTTATTTATTTATTTGAGAGGCAGAGTTATAGAGAGAGAGAAAGAGAGAGAGAGAGAGAGAGGTCTTCATCCACCGGTTCACTCCCCAAATGGCCGCAACGGCCAGAGCTGGGCCGATCCGAAGCCGGGAACCAGGAGCTTCCTCTGGGTCTCCCACGTGGGTGCAGGGGTCTGAGCATTTAGGCCATTTCCCACTGCCTTCCCAGGCCATTGGCAGGGAGCTGGGTCAGAAGTGGAGCATTGGGGACTCAAATCGGCGCCCATATGGGATGCCGGCACAGCAGCTGGAGGCTTTACCTGCCACACCACAGCGCCGGCCCCTCTCCCCCTCTCCCTCTCTAACTGCCTTTCAAGTAAGTAATTATTTTTTTCCTAAAGGATTCAGGCCATCTGATGGGTAGGGACCCCTACCCATCTGTGACGCAGGGACGCACTAGGTACTCACGCAGCAGTGAGCGGCGTGGTGTGGACCAGAAGGCAACAGCAGGCCAGGTGGAGAGGAGGGCGGCTACGAGAGGGGCGAGGGACCCAGCAGTCCTGTCTCCTCCCGCTCTGCCCTTCTCAGAGAACCCGGGCAAGGGTGGCGCCTCTCCGGGCCTGTCTCCCGCGCCGCGCCGCGGGACAGGGACCCAGTCACACCGGAAGATTCCAACAGGCCTTGGGCGCCTGGCGCCTGGAGGGAGAGGGGAGCCTCCAGATGTGGGCAACCCCGACTCTTCCTACCTGCGGCCAGGGCTTCCCTCTAAGCCTGCGCCCCCCGAGCCACGGCCTCCACTCTCTGCCTCCGTGGGCCTGCGGTCTCCACCTCGCCCCGCCCCTTCCCCGGCCTCTCCAACTCGGTCTCTGCTGGTCTCTCCGGGGTTCGCCAGCTCACCTGGGGGCTCACTCGCTGCCCGCGCCCGCCGCCCCGGGGCCGGCCTCGAGCGTGGCGAGCTGCAGGCGCACGCGGCGGGCGGCGGCGGCGGGCGGCGGGGGCGCGCGGGCGGCTCGGCGCGCCCCCCGGGAGCCGGGCGCGGCGCGCGGGCCGGCGGCGGGCGCCGACCAGCGGCGGGAGAGCTTGCGCGCGAGGCGGGCGAGCGCCGTGGGCCGCAGGCCGTAGTCGCGCTCCAGCTCCTGGCGCGAGATCTCGATGTTGCCCGTGTACCAGAGGATCCAGCCGAGCAGGCTCAGGAAGACGAGCAGCGCGCCCGAGTAGATGAGCAAGTCGCCGAAGTCGCGGCCGCGCACCTGCAGCTGCGCGAACACGCCGGTCAGCAGCGCCGCCATGCCCGCCACGTCCAGCGCCACGGCCAGCAGCAGCGCCATCCGGCAGCGGCCCAGGCCGGCCGCGGGCGCGGGCGCGGGCGCGGGCGCGGGCGCCGGTGCGGACGGTGCTCCCGGCGGGAGCCCCTGCGAGGCGCACACCGCCGCCACCGCCGCCATGGCCCTGCCCCTGCCCCTGCCCCTGCGCTGGCAGAGAGCGTTCCGGGGTGCGGCCCGGCCCGGCCCGGGCGGGGCGGGGTCTGGGGACGGCGCCAGGTGTGCCCAGCGCCCGCCTGGTTACCTGAGCCGAGCTGGGAGCGGGCTGCCCAGGCTCGGTGGGGGCAGCCCCCGGCGGTGCTTCTAGGACAGAGGCGGTCGCTGAGAGGCCTGTGGCGCACAGGTGGGGGTGGCCCGGGACCCCTACCCTTCAAGGAGCCGGGGAGCGGGGGAACACGTGGCCAAAAACTTCCCGGTGCGTAATGGAGGCGCCTGGCGCTCCGGCGTGCGCAACAGGCCGCCTAGCGCGAACAGGGGGGCTCAGAAGCAATACCGGACGGACGAGGCCTCGTGGAAAGCAGAGAACGAAGTGTCTGGGCGCTGAGGGAGGAACCAGCGGGCACTGTGGGAGCCCCGTCCCCAGAGTGG